TCAGCGCTGCGCTGCATCCGGCGTCAATGGGTTAAGAGCTGTTTCTTGTCTGACCTGTACAAAAGTGAACTCCCTCCAGTTCAGCGCGTGTCCCACAGAGGGCAGCGAGGTCAGGGCCAACACACACAGAACTCCAAGTCCCAGAATTCCACTGGAGAGGTACAAGTCCGACCTCCAGACCTGCGTCTCCACCCACGAGTTTTCTACACCTGCCTTTACCTGAGAAAAAACAAACAAACAACAAACAAGCAAAGAACAAAAGCACAAGAATGTATTAAAATGCACTGCAGATTTATTTTGATTATTAAAAATTAAATGTACAACAACTCACCCCTATGTAACAGATAATACTCCCTACAACGGTACAACAACTCACCCGTGTTATCCTAATGAAAGTCCAAAATATCCAAAATGTACTATTAATGGAAAAAACATGTCATGGAAAAATCTGACATTTGGCAAAGTGACTCTTCCGGTGACTCCATTCAAAAAAGTTTTCCTGTTGTATTTTCATGTTGTATTTTCTTGTTGTATTTTCATGTTGTATTTTTATTGTATTTTCTTGTCGGAATTTTTCTGGGGGTTTTTTTTTGTGTGTGTGTATTTTCTTGTTGTATTTTTTTGGTGTATTTCCACGTTGTATTTTTTTATTGTATTTTCCTGTTGTATTTTCACGTTGTATTTTCATGTTGTATTTTCTTCTTGTTGTTGGTTTTTTCTTGTTTTTTTTTTTTTTTTTGTATTTTCTTGTTGTATTTTTTTGTTGGAATTTTCTGTTGTATTTTTTTTTTATTGTATTTTCTTGTTGTATTTTCACGTTGTATTTTCTTGTTGTATTTTTTATTGTATTTTCCTGTTGTTGTTTTTTTTTTTGTATTTTCTTGTTGTATTTTCACGTATTTTCTTGTTGTATTTTTTAATTGTATTTTCTTGTTGTATTTTCCTGTTGGGTTTTTTGTTGTTGTTGTATTTTCATGTTGTATTATCTTGTTGTATTTTCATGTTGTATTTTTTTTTTGTATTTTCATGTTGTATTTTTTTTTTTTGTATTTTCTTGTTATATTTTCATGTTGTATTTTCATGTATTTTCTTGTTGTATTTTCCTGTTGTATTTTCTTGTTGTATTTTCCTGTTGTATTTTCTGTTGTATTTTCCTGTTGTATTTTCCTGTTGTATTTTCCTGTTGTATTTTCCTGTTGTATTTTCTTGTTGTATTTTCCTGTTGTATTTTCCTGTTGTATTTTCTTGTTGTATTTTCATGTTGTATTTTCTTGTTATATTTTCATGTTGTATTTTCATGTATTTTCTTGTTGTATTTTCCTGTTGTAGTTTCCTGTTGTATTTTCTTGTTGTATTTTCTTGTGTTGTTTTCCTGTTGTATTTTCTTGTTGTATTTTTTTATATTTTCTGTTGTATTTTCTTGTTGTATTTTCTGTTGTTCTTGTTGTATTTTCCTGTTGTATTTTCTTGTTGTATTTTCCTGTTGTATTTTCCTGTTTGTATTTTTCTTGTTGTATTTTCCTTGTTGTTGTATTTTCCTGTTGTATTTTCTTGTTGTATTTTCCTGTTGTAGTTTCCTGTTGTATTTTCTTGTTGTATTTCGCCGTTGTATTTTGCCGTTTACCTGTCGATACGCCGCGTTGAGGATCATGTAGCCCGAGGCCCTGCGGATGGACAGACACACGCTGTAGACGGCGTGGAGGGCGGCGCACAGGAAGCTCAGGAGCCCCAGCTGTTTCCGGGCGCACATCCACCGGTCCAGCCAATCGGGGAAGCGCTTGTATTTAGTGCCTCTGTAGAGCTGCAGCACAGACGCCAACAGACCTGAGGACGTACAGACACGCTGAGGTCAAATGGTCAGGTGGGTCAGGTCAGGTGGGCGTGGTCAGGTCAGGTGGGCGTGGTCACAGCGACTTCTCCCAAAAAAAATGACAAATATAAAATAGGTACAACTTAAATGTCAAACCGGAGCGACTTACAACGGTGAAAACAAACTGCATAAACTCATGAAATCTGCAGGACTGTCCTATAGACCCCTGAAACATGAGGGACCAGGACTGAACCAGGACTAAACCAGGACTAAACCAGGACTAAACCAAACCTATACGAGGACTGAGTGTCGGGTTGGGCCGTCGCCCGATCTCGCTTTGCGGACATCCTACTCTGCGGGCTCAGGGTTCTCTCTTTCACTCTCAAGTCCAAGATTAGTCCTGGTTTAGTCCTAGTTTAGACCTGGTTCAGTCCTGGTTCAGTCGTGATTTAGACCTGGTTTAGACCCAACTTAGCCCTGGTTTAGTCCTGGTTTAGACCTGGTTCAGTCCTGGTATAGTTATAATTTAGACCTTGTTTAGCCCTGGTTTAGACCTGGTTCAGTCCTGTTCCAGTCCTGGTTTAGACCTGGTTTAGACCTAGTTTTAGTCCTGGTTTAGTCCTAGTTTACACCTGGTTTAGTCCTGGTTTCAGTCCTGGTTCAGTCCTGGTTTAGTCCTGGTTTGTCCTGGTTTAGTCATTGTTTAATCCTTGTTTGGACCTGGTTTAGCCTTGGTTTAATCTTGATTCAGTCTTGATTCAGTCCTGGTTTAGTCCTTGTTTAGACCTGGTTTAGTCCTGGTTCAGTCCTGGATGGAGTCCTGGTTCAGACCTGGTTTAGTCCTGTTTTAGTCCTGGTTCAGTCCTGGTTCAGTCCTGATTTAGTCCTGGTTTAATCCTGGTTTAGTCCTGGTTTAGACCTGATTCAGTCCTGGTTAGTCCTGTTTAGTCCTGGTTTAGTCCTTTTTTTAGACCTGTTTTAGTCCTGGTTCAGTCCTGGTTTAGTCCTTGTTTAGACCTGTTTAGTCCTGGTTTAGTCCCTGTTCAGACCTGTTTTAGTCCTGGTTTAGTCCTTGTTTAGTCCTGTTTAGTCCTGGTTCAGACCTGTTTAGTCCTGGTTTACCTGGTTTTAGTCCTGGTTTAGTCCTAGTTTTAGTCCTTTAGTCCTGGTTTAGTCCTTGTTTAGACCTGGTTTAGTCCTGGTTTAGTCCTGTTTAGACCTGGTTTAGTCCTGGTTTAGTCCTGGTTTAGACCTGGTTTAGTCCTGGTTAGTCCTTTTTAGACCTGGTTTAGTCCTGGTTTAGTCCTGGTTCAGACCTGATTTAGTCCTGTTTAGACCTGGTTTAGTCCTTGTTTAGTCCTGGTTTAGTCCTTTTTTTTAGACCTGTTTTAGTCCTGGTTCAGTCCTGGTTTAGTCCTTGTTTAGACCTGGTCCTGGTTTAGTCCTTGTTTAGACCTGGTTTAGTCCTGGTTTTAGTCCTGGTTAGACCTGTTTAGTCCTGGTTTAGTCTGTTTAGTTTTAGTCCTTTTTTAGACCTTTTTAGTCCTTTAGTCCTGGTTTAGACCTGGTTTAGACCTGGTTTAGTCCTGGTTCAGACCTGGTTTGGTTTAGACCTGGTTTTAGTCCTGGTTTAGTCCTGGTTCAGTCCTGGATAGTCCTGGTTTAGACCTGGTTTAGTCCTGGTTTAGTCCTGGTTTAGACCTGGTTAGACCTGGTTTAGTCCTGGTTTAGACCTGGTTTAGTCCTGGTTTAGACCTGGTTTGGTTTAGTCCTGGTTTAGTCCTGGTTTAGTCCTGTTCAGACCTGGTTTAGTCCTGGTTCAGTCCTGGTTCAGTCCTGGTTTAGTCCTGGTTTAGACCTGGTTTTAGTCCTGGTTCAGTCCTGGTTTAGACCTGGTTTTAGACCTGGTTTAGTCCTGGTTTAGACCTGGTTTAGTCCTGGTTTAGACCTGGTTTAGACCTGGTTTAAGTCCTGTTTTTAGTCCTGGTTTAGTCCTTTTTTAGACCTGTTTTAGTCCTGGTTCAGTCCTGGTTTAGTCCTTGTTTAGTCCTGGGTTCAGTCCTGGTTTAGACCTGGTTTAGACCTGGTTAGTCCTGGTTTAGTCCTGGTTAGACCTGATTTAGTCCTGGTTTAGACCTGGTTTAGTCCTGATTTAGTCCTTTTTTAGACCTGTTTTAGTCCTTTCAGTCCTGGTTTAGACCTGGTTTAGACCTGGTTTAGTCCTGGTTCAGACCTGTTTAGACCTGGTTTGGTTTAGTCCTGGTTTAGTCCTGGTTCAGTCCTGGTTCAGTCCTGTTAGTCCTGGTTTAGACCTGGTTTAGTCCTGGTTCAGTCCTGGTTCAGACCTGGTTTAGTCCTGGTTTAGTCCTTGTTTAGACCTGTTTTAGTCCTGGTAGTCCTTAGTCCTGGTTTAGACCTGGTTTAGTCCTGGTTCAGACCTGGTTTTAGTTTAGACCTGGTTTAGTCCTGGTTCAGTCCTGGTTCAGTCCTGGATAGTCCTGGTTCAGTCCTGGTTTAGTCCTGGTTTAGACCTGGTTTAGTCCTGGTTTAGACCTGGTTAGACCTGGTTTAGACCTGGTTTAGTCCTGTTTTAGTCCTTTTTAGACCTGTTTTAGTCCTGGTTAGTCCTAGTCCTGGTTCAGTTTACCTGGTTTAGACCGGTTTAGACCTGGTTTAGACCTGGTTTAGACCTGGTTTAGTCCTGGTTTAGTCCTGGTTTAGACCTTTTAGTGTTTTAGTCCTTTAGACCTGGTTCAGACCTGGTTTAGACCTGGTTTAGACCTGGTTTAGACCTGGTTTAGTCCTGGTTTAGTCCTGGTTTAGACCTGGTTTAGACCTGGTTTAGTCCTGGTTCAGTCCTGGTTCCTGATTCTCATGGACTGACTCTCATCCCTGTCGTCTCGTCTCATCCTTGTGTAAATAAAGTCTTTACCGTTTGGTTTTTCCGTTTGGTCAGACTGTCTCATCTTTAACAAACCGTCTCCTTCGATTATCACGTCCGTTGAGTTCGTTACCTGGCAGATAAACCAGCGCCAGCGTCACCAGGGCCACGGCGGGCAGGGCCTGGTTCACCGTGACCAGGGGCAGGTGGTACAGGTTGTTCTCCCCGCGGTCCAGGTAGGGCATCAGGACGTTTTTGAGGGCGGTGTAGAGGTAGAAGAAGGTGAAGAGGGTCGCGGCGGCGAGCAGAGGACCTCTCCAGGACGGGAACAGGAGCAGCGGCGCCTCCTCCAGGGCCCCGGACGCGCACAGACCCCCCGCGTCCACCGCCCTGAAGCCCAACCTCTGAGCCAGAACCAGGACCGAGAGTTTAGAGGAGGGACAGTCTCCACACACCAGCACCTGGGA